TAACATTAACCACTAGGGTGGGGAAATTATTATCTTGCAATTAACCAGGCATTTTTCTGTTCAATCTTTTTTTTTTTTAAAGATTTTATTTATTTATTTGAGAGAGAGAGAAAGTACACACCTGAGGGCAGGGAGAGCACAGGGGGAAGGGGAGGAAGGGGGAAAGAACCTCAAGCAGACTCAGCGCAGGGTCTGATCCTTCCACCCTCATCATGACCTGAACCGAAACCAAGAGTCAGACACTTAACCAACTGAGCCACTCAGGCATCCCTGTTCAATCTTTTTTTTTTTTTTTTAATATTTTATTTATTCATTTGAGAGAGAGAGAGACAGCAAGAGAGAGCATGAGCGGGGATGAGAGGGAGAAGCAGGCTCCCTGATGAGCAGGGAGCCCAACGCAGGGCTCAATCCCAGGATCCTAGGATCACGATGCCTACCCGAATGAGCCACCCAGGTGCCCCAACCCCTGTTGAATCTTTTAATAGCCAAGGCTCTCCAAATATTTTTTGCAATTTCATTTTAATAAAACCAGTCAAAATGAAATGATGAGTCTTTTTAAAAACTGATTATTCTTTTCTTCTAGTTATCATTTAAAGTATTCAAGAGAGACTCTACAGTTAAAGAATGTCTGATGTTAAAATCAGAGAATCCACTCCCTTTATAAATAAGATGACCAGATTCCAGACTAAAACAGCAAATACTGATTGCATGGTGCAATAAAGGGCATAATCAATGTAGAGGAAACAGTACAGCAAACCACATGGTTAAGAGTTAAGATTTAGATCCAAGTTTCAACCAGACAAGCTTCAGTAGCTATGAAGCTATGGATAAGTTACTTAACTTCTATCAGTCTCAGTTTCCTCATCTCTAAAATAGGAATAACACTGTCAATGTTACCGGATTATTGTGGGGATTAAAGGACATAGGTGAGTAAAAAAATTACACAACTCCTTTACAAAAGGCTTACAATTTAAATTTTGCAGCTAAGATTTTTTTTAAACTGGGATACAGAAAAATCTTTACCAATTTTTCTATGTGGAATTTTAGTAAATCTGTCTCAATTATTCCAAGTCAGTATATTCCCATTAGAACAGCCTAACCTACTTATTTAAATAAAAGTTTATCTCAATTTTTCATGTCCAGCATATATCTTATTTTCTGGAAGATGGGGATTCCCACCTTTGATTCCTTTTTCCCCCAAACCCCAGCTCAAATAGTATGCCATAAATATGTATCGACAATGTATGGAAATAACTTCCCCAGTAATCTGCCACTACAGGAAAGTACCACTTTGGAATTAACCAGTTGCAGAAAGTAACCAGGTGACAGACAGGTTACTAGAAGTGTCCGTATGTATAGGCTTGACCCCCTAACAGATTACCTCTGAGGAAGTTATGCTTTGACAGCTGGTTTAAAGACATTTTAACTCTCCCCACCTTGGCATCAGCTGTTCTTACAGAAGGGAGTAACAAAGCCTAGCAAGTAAACTTAAAGAGTTTCTTATTAACTTGTATTAAAGTGGCAGTCCCTAAAGATGGGGCAGATGAATCTTTGTACTTCATACATCAAACATGTAAACAAATCGCCTGTTTACAAAAATATTTCTAATAATTAACAACAAAAAATATACTTTGTAAAATCTAGCCTTTAAGTTATTTTTAAAACTATAATAACTAGATTAAAATGTTTAATCACTGGTTATTTAGATAAAGCAGAAAGAAATACTAAGCTTGTGTCTATCCAAAGTACATTTTACTGAATGCAGATGATTATGCATACGAATGCATGCATTCGTATGATTATTTCATACGAAACTTTTACCCCTAAATTTTCACAAACAGTACTCAACTAACATTTTATAAAGGTTTTCATTTATAAATTTCCCTAATCTTACTCTACATGAACTAAAACCAAAACATAACATTAAATGATGTCCATCTAAATATGAATTAGAAAAAAATGTTAATGCCATAGGTTCCAAAATAACACTCTGTTTCGTTATAACTGAAATATTTTAAAACATGACATCAGTTTGATTGCCCAGACTACATTTTACTGAAATGGAGTACGTAGAATTGCTAAATGAGAATAGCCTTTATTAGATTTATTGATTTGTGGGTTACTGATACAGTGATGGAAATGATATGAACAACACTGCAATAAATCATATTTATGAAGATTAACATAGGCATTTTCCTGAATATGATAAAACTTTAATACAGATTTAGAGCAGAATTTTAACTAGAGAAATGTGAGATGAAGGCTGTTTTCAGCAACACTATAGTGGCATTATACTAATTTTATACTTTGACCCAATTATAAATGACTTAAAGTCAGTATTTATAAGAGAAGTTTCAAGTTAAGTATACTAATAGGAAGTTATATAATATCAGTTTTCCATATTTCTCACAGCTTTTTTTTAAAACTAGTCACTTAAAACATACCTCAATTAAGTTTCATAGTATTTTCTATACAGCTAGTATAGAAATCAGTAAAATAAGAACTCTGATCAAATCATTCCATGTTCATGTCCAAGATGTGTAAACAATTAGAATTTAGGCTTATTTCAATATAACTAGTTTCAATAGTAAAGATTCTGAAGCAGACAGAAGACACTTAAGCTTATTCTTTATTGGTAGATTTAAAATAGGGTCTTTTATTAGTTTACATATTTTGTAACTAAATGTTATTTTCACAGTAATTCTAGTTATCAAATTACATTCCTTAACAATGGAATGTTCCCCCTCCTACATTGTTGGTGGGAATGCAAGCTGCTGCAGCCACTCTGGAAAACAGTATGGAGGTTCCTCAAAAAGTTGAAAATAGAGCTACCATACCATCCAGCAATTGCACTACTGGGTATTTACCCCGAAGATACAAATGTAGGGATCCGAAGGGGTATGTGCACCCCGATGTTTATAGCAACAATGTCCACAATAGCCAAACTGTGGAAAGAGCCAAGATGTCCATCGACAGATGAATGGATAAAGAAGATGTGGTATACATATACAATGGAATATTATGCAGCCATCAAAAGGAATGACATCTTGCCATTTGCAACAATGGAACTGGAGGATATTATGCTGAGCGAAATAAGTCAATCAGAGAAAGACATGTATCATATGACCTCACTGATATGAGGAATTCTTAATCTCAAGAAACAAACTGAGGGTTGCTGGAGTGGTGGGGGGTGGGTGGGTGATAGATATTGGGGAGGGTATGTGCTATGGTGAGTGCTATGAATTGTGTAAGACTGATGGAATCACAGATCTGTACCTCTGAAACAAATACTACATTATATGTTAAAAAAAAAAAGAAGAAGAAGAAGATAGCAGGAGGGGAAGAATGAAGGGGGGGAATCTACAGGGAGACGAACCATGAGAGACTATGGACTCTGGGTAACAAACTGAGGGTTCTAGAGGGGAGGA